ATTATATATATATATATATATATATAAAGCCCAAGGACAATTATATTAAAGAGAAAATGGTACATATAGGTTGTCTTAGTGGACTCAAATAGGCACCCAACACACACAAAAAGAAGAAAAGAAAATTTAAAACCCAAAAGAAGATGGTACATAAAGGATCAACTAGGTCGACCCACTTTAGTTTCCTTTCTGACTATAGTTCTCGGAAAAGAATCGACTAACAGATTGTTGAGGTGTGTACCATTGCTTGAAGTAACCAGAGTATCATCCATTAGATTTTTTAGCTCAAGTAGATCTTCATTCTTCTTCTTCCTCCTGGAAGTGTAGACTTGTTATTCTTCATCCGAAGATTGTTGCTCATTTGGATAAGGTGGTAGTACTGCAGTAGAAAGATTGCCAACATTTGTGCCCACAAGTGTATGTGAGGTAAGAGTTGTCGCCTTTACCGCTGATACTTCGTGGAGAGTTGCAAGGTTCTCATGATTCTTCGTCTGTGTAGGTAGATGTCCTTCATTATTATCTTCAAGTGTAGGTTGTTGACCTCCTTTTGGTTGAGGTCTAGAAAACTTCTTTAGTAGCCTAGGTCTAGCCATAGGACTTTCCTATTGACTAGTCAAAGCAATAGAATCAGACACCAATTTCTGTCGTGTGGTAGTTTTCTCTCCATATGGAACAGATATATTTTTATATCCATCCTTATTCATCTGATCTTAGAAACAGTATTTTCAAGGGGAGGGTCCACAGAAGCAATAGAATCAGACACTAAATTATGTCCTGTGTTTATGTCGTGTGGTAGTTTTCTCTCCATGTGGGACAGATATATTTTTATATCCATCCTTATTCATCTGATCTTTAGATTTCAACTTAGGATGAAGCTTATGACATTTATCAAGAGTATGACCAAACATCTTACAATGAGAACAATAAGAAGGTCTATGCTCCATGACGATTTGTTGTCAATATCCATTATATGTTGTGCCCAATCAGACAAAGTAATATCTCGTTCTACAAGTATTTTGTCCACATAATGTCTGATAAGGTTGAAAGTGGGTAGATCTAGTTTCGTAGGGTCCCCAAGTATGACACAAATAAAGTAAATAACCTGATGATATATGTGTTGTGCCCAACTAGACAAAGTAATATCTCGTTCTACAAGTATTTTTTCCACATAATGTCTGGTAAGGTTGAAAGTGGGTAGATCTAGTTTCGTAGGGTCCCCAAGTATGACACAAATAAAGTAAATAACCTGATGATGAAAAAAGTGCAGCTTGAAACCAGGTAGACTAAACCATACCGGTACATTAGGAGGTTCATGATTGAGGTCAAAATCAGGAGACCACTTAAGTAGCTTCGTTGATTTACCAGCAATGTTAAGATATTTTTTAGAGAAGATCCGAGTGTAGTTTTTAGGCGCGGTTAACTGAATCATTACATGTCTCCCATCCAAGAGCCCCATTTTCCACTTTCCTGCTAATTTGAGGTCATAAAATTTTTTTCTGATAACTTCCCCTAGTGAAATTTCTCGATGAGAGGAAACTTGAAAGGCGCGGTTAACTGAATCATTACATGCCTCCCATCCAAGAGCCTCATTTTCCACTTTCCTGCTAATTTGAGGTCATAAAATTTTTTTCTGATAACTTCCCCTAGTGAAATTTCTCGATGAGAGGAAACTTGAATTTGTCAGTCAGGGTTGAAATTTCTTACAAAGAGAAAAAGGTGATGTCTTACCACTCTTCCAGCTTGCATTCTTAATAAATGGGCAGTCACATGTACCATCACAATTCTCCTTATAACTTGAGGGGAAGACAATTGTCATCTCCCCTTGAGGATTACCCACAACGTGGGCAAATGAGGTTTTGTCAGGCTCAACCGAAGAAGAAGGAAGCTCCATAACAGCAGCAAGGAAGCTTTGCAAGTAGTCGAGGTGAAGCTGCGTAGCAGAAGACAGGAACCGCAGACCGCAGATGACGGATGCGAAGAAGTCGCAGCTCGACAGAGTCCAAACCAAAGCCGTGCAGAAAATAAACCGCGGCGTGAAGGATGAGACAACTCCGCAGAAGCGAAGACACCAATGCAGGAAGACGACGCAGAAGCAAAAAAGAACCACGACGCGAAAGAGAATACGACGATCGCAAACGAGTGCAAAGTCCTTCTTCGTCATCGAGCACGAGAGGATGGATTGAAAGGCCACGAAGAAATCAAACCAAGGTTTTACCATTGGGCGAAACCCTAGTAGAGCATGTGACCGCCATTTGCATTATATATATTTAT